TCTCCGGGCCCTAAAAAAACTATTTTCGCTTTCAAACTAAAAAGACGCCGGTCCTAGACAGGGAGAAGAAAGTGGATCGATCTGACCCTTCGAACTTGCCCTTGGCTGGTGGTATAGATATTTCGATACTTCCAGTCCAGTCCAGTTCAAATGTTTTTATTTCTAGTCTCTTCTCACGATTCTTCTCCCCCCAAACCTTGAATGCCGACTTGTCCGTTCGACTTTCTTGACACAAACCCTGTCCCACGTGGTTGATTCTCGTCTGCCTGGGAATTTAGTGGAAATTACGTCCGCAGAACAAGAAAGAAACATTTCCGTCATTCCGTGAATTTATTATTTTATTCCTTCCTGGGCTCCGCATTGACTCAGCCTCGTTTTATTATTTTCTCTCCAAGTCATCTTCTCTCAACAACCACGCTCTCACCTTTTCCTCTCCCTACCTTTCCCCGACGCCTACATACAAACCACCTTTTCTGGTTGACGGATCAGCGCTACTACTCCCGCGTACCTTCCACCCTCACAACGACGTCGCCCATACCGTCCATTTCCACCGCGCCCGCATTGATCGGCATCTCCAAAATGAGTTCGCCCTCGGTACAGGTTCAACCGCAACCTTCCGGCGCAAAGGGCGTTTCCCACACAACGAAAGAGGCTGGTGCTATGAACTTCGACATTGTCCGCTGTTCGAGATGTCAGCGCTCCATGAGCCTTGAAAATGAGTCCTCCCCCGGTGTGGTGCGCTTCGGCATGAATTCATACTACTGCAGCCGCTGTGCGTCTATGGTCGGCTTTATCCGATGAAATGCCAGTCGCGCAACGGAACAAGAAAGAGAAACAACATTGTTACGAACGCATTTTTCGTCGTGCCTTCTAGCTCCCTCCTGCTACCTCACCACCGTCTCTAGGGAGTTGGCAGGATCGGCATGTTGGTTCTCCAGTTTTTGTTGTTTTCTATTTCAACCATTCACTCAGACGATACTTTCGAGGGCTGTTCTGTGCTGGCACAGCTTCTCTCACACCCTTCGAGCAAAGGACAATGGCTACGGACCACGACTCAGTCGTTGAGGTCGGATGGACTTTATCGATGTCGCACTTCTCTGGGTCATACCCGAGGGAACAATGACTCCCCACGGGCGACAGAGAAGGGACGGTTGGCCGGATGGGTGGACAAAGGCACAACTTTTCACTCCCACGGGATCCAAATGCGGCGAAAGACAATAGCCTGGCTCGGGAATTTCGGCATCTACAACGAACAATGCCGTCGACCATGCTGGTTAACTCCGAGCAGCGCCCTACCCCTCGACAAAGCTATGTTGATTCAATAGCTCGATGGAAATCTACGATACCCTGCATATGTGTCATTTGCTTTGTATTGCATATCTTACAAGGAACTACGCTGTTTCCTCTTTGTGTGTTAGCACGGCATGTAGGATCCTGAATAGAGTTCAAGGATTCCATTGCTTTCATATGTTTCACTATCTAATTGTTTCTTTTCCGCTCAATACCCACAATATGTTGAAACCATTAGCGATTAAGGCTCCTTTGTCATATTAGATCCCCGTAAGCAACGCTTACAATACAATATCAAACTCATTCAATTGATCGACAATTCATTTTTTCTGCCACTGTGGCGCTCTAGCGGACTTTGAATAGGGGCGGCTGGCATACTTGCCACAACTGTGCCGACATACCAATGCGCTCTGCCTATCACAATTAAACCAGTCACCCCGGGATGATCGCCATTGCATAGACAACAAACTCATTGGCGATGAACATGCCAGTCTCCCGCAAAGGGCTACATAGCTGTCAAGACCGACCTGAGTTGTAGATCCTCATCAACCATGCAAAACATCCACCTCCCATCACTTCATGAAACCCCTATGCATGTCATACATCGCCCCTGTTGCAATTTCACACCCTGTTCGGCGCCACACTCTAAGAATGCGGAACAATCAAATTGCCTTGTAGATCCCACGCCCTGACCACCAGCCTACGAACCATAAATCAACCAGCTTGGGCCATACTCTCCCTTAGAATCTCAACTTCTTTATGACATAACGGACCCATTCCTCCGGATCGGCCAAGTATTAACTTGGACGGGATGTTGAAGAACTCAAAACAACCTCCTAAGCTCGTTTCGTATGTATGAACATCCATCCATCCATCCATACATACCCCTCAACAAGGGCGATCTACCTTATTTACCCCTCCCCCTTACTGCTAGGGCAAAACGATGCCCGAGAATGGGCTGACTGCCACTTTGACTCCCGGGTGTTCAGATCGCGTGTCTTTGGTGTACAGAGTGCTAGTATGTAACTACGTACTTACGAGGGAAGAATGTATTTCCAGGCGCGCGAAGCGCCCCTTTTCTTCCCAGTCGCTCTTCACCAAACACACATATGAATAAAAATAAAATAAAA